CCCCCCCTTTCTTCCCTCCTCACAAATGTCTTACGTATTCCAGGCAGCATCACAGGCTCCTATACTAGCACTCCGAGCTCGAATATCTGGGACAACATCATATTCACTGTTCCCAAAGGTGCAACCAACGTCGTGATTACAAACAAAAACTACAATGCTGTCAGCATTAGTAAGTTAAATCTTTCATGTTTTTTCATCAGTTTGAAGATACTTGCCAGAACAACAAATGTAACTCACTGAACGCCAGTGCTCTCCCCTTTGACGAGTAAAATTGTCTGGCATTAGACAGAGTAAAATAATAAAATGGGGTGCACTGGGGCGCAATGCAACTTCCTAGGTTAATAAGCTCCTCATCCAAGTATGGTACATTCAATGCCACCTAGTCTAGTTTGCTACTTAACTCTAATGTCAAACAAGATACTAGTAAAAGAGACTTTAGTTACGTTTCAAGTTTTAATGCGCTCTAATGTGCCTTTCTTGTCATTAATAATTCATGAGGAAAACACAAAGAAAAATTATAAGCGTGTCGTATCTCTACACGGTGAGTAAAAAAACCTGATACCTTTGATATTCAAATTAGCCGCATAGGTGTCAGTTTTTTTTTACTCACCCTGTAAGACCTGTATATGTGATATAGATTTTTCTTGATTTACATAATTTTCTTGACTTACAAAACGTATTTTTTGAAAATTACTTCGCCCATGAACTTACTAGATCGATCGTTTTTGAAACAATTTAAAACATTTCGCAGTGCGTGTTTTAGCAGACCTAAAAGATAGTCGACTTTGCCTCGTATCTTTATATTTGATAAAACACTGCTGCTCATATGTTTTAAATAATACATAAAAACATACAAACAATTTAAGGAATGCGTTCTATACTACAAAATAGATTTTGTAGATAAAAAAATGCAAATATAGGATCTTTGACAGGAATCGAGTATTGACCCCTACTTTTCATCTTAATTTAGAGGTTGGTTACACAAGATCCAGGTCTAAGGGTACCCGATTTAGTGAGAGCTCTTGGATGAACAACTGGGTTAAGTATTATGGATCATATAAAACAACAAAGACAGTGGTTGGTGTTTCGTTTACTTACTTACGAACAAAAACCTCTTCAACTTTCACCATCGCTGGTATGTGGACGCTTATCATGATAAATGATTCTGTGTTTATTTGGTTATACTGTATCAGTTAAAAGTAGCATACTAAAGTGATTCAGTTAGGAATAGCTAATCAAGTATAGTCAAACCTACGTACAGACACCTTTCTAATACAGACATCTCTTTAATACAGACACCTCTCTAATACAAACACCTCTCTAATACAGATACCTCCCTATACAGACACCTCTCTAATACAGAAATCTCTTTAATACAGACAACTCTCTAATACAGACACCTCTCTAATACAAACACCTCTCTAATACAGACACCTCCCTAAACAGACACCTCTCTAATACAGACACCTCTCTAATACAGAAATCTCTTTAATACAGACACCTCTCTAATACAAACACCTCTCTAATACAGACACCTCCCTATACAGACACCTCTCTAATACAGAAATCTCTTTAATACAGACAACTCTCTAATACAGACGCCTTTCTAATACAGACACCTCTCTAATACAAACACCTCTCTAATACAGACACCTCCCTAATACAGACTCCTCTCTAATACAGACATCTCTTTAAAACAGACACCTCTCTAATACAGACACCCCCCTAATACAGATGCCTCTCTAATACAGACACCTCTCTGATACAGACACCTCTCTAATACAGACACCTCTCTAATACAGACACCTCTCTAATACAGAGTGACACCTCTCTAATACAGACATCTCCCTAATACAAACACCTCCCTAATACAGACACCTCCCTAATACAGACACCTCTCTAATACAGACAACTCTCTAATACAGACACCTCTCTAATACAGACACCTCTCTAATACAGACACCTCTCTAATACAGACACCTCTCTAATACAGACACCTCCCTAATACAAACACCTCCCTAATACAGACACCTCTCTAATACAGACACCTCTCTAATACAAACACCTCCCTAATACAGACACCTCTCTAATACAGACACTTCTCTAATACAGACACCTCTCTAATAAACACCTCTCTAATACAGACATCTCTCTAATATGGACACCTCTCTAATAGAGAGATCTCTCTAATACAGACACCTCTCTAATACAGACATCTCTCTAATACAGACACCTCCCTAATACAGACACCTCTCTAATACAGACACCTCTCTAATACAGACACCTCTCTAATACAGACACCTCTCTAATACAGACACATCTCTAATACAGACACCTCTCTAATACAGACACCTCTCTAATACAGACACCTCTCTAATACACACACCTCTCTAATACAGACACCTCTCTAATACAGACACCTCTCTAATACAGACACCTCTCTAATACAGACACCTCTCTAATACAGACACCTCTCTAATACAAACACCTCCCTAATACAGACACCTCTCTAATACAGACACTTCTCTAATACAGACACCTCTCTAATAAACACCTCTCTAAAACAAACATCTCTCTAATATGGACACCTCTCTAATAGAGACATCTCTCTAATACAGACACCTCTCTAATATATAAGCACCTCTCTAATATAAGCACCTCTCTAAATAAATACAGACATCTCTCTAATACAGACACCTCTCTAATATGGACACTTCTTGTAAAATGTCAATGTGACTATATATAGTGTGGTTACATACTTATTTAATTTTATTTTTAAGGTCCTGTAAACCCAACCAGTGGATACAAGTTGGTTTTATTCGCCAAAGGAAGTTCTCCAGCCAAAATTTCCTGGACCTATAGTGCTTAAAGTGTTATATTTTATTGAATATTTTACTGCACTCATATAATACGTTTAGCTCATGCTTAATCTTGTTGCACTACACAGAATGAAAACATAGATCTTTAAATAAAAACCTAGAATCAAGTATTATGTTGTTATTTTTATTTTCTGTGTCATCATTTCAAAACAATGTCACCTGTCCAGAATTCTTCCCTTGTTTTCAGTTCAAATTTAATTGAACAGGCGTAACAAGAAATACCTGTGGTTCCGGTTCCCGACCGACCCTATTTTTTTCTGCCGACCCTATTATTTTTTCAATGTGATTGACCAGGGCCGCCGAGAGGTTGGCGGGGGCCCGGGGCAAATTTTTTGGTCAAAAAATTTTCGGTCAGTGTACCATTTTAGGGTAAAAAAAATTTTCCGGAGTACAAAATTTTTCCGGACAAGTACGTTGCAACTGCTTTCGAGGGACTTTATCTCATTTTTTGATGCCAAAATTCGGTACTTAGCCCAAGAGAACAGATATCTTGTCCTTTGCACGGAAATATTTAACACACAAAAAAGGCTGGGGCCCAACAAAAATTTTTCAGGGTCCCCCAGCAACTCGGGGCCCGGGGCAATTTGCCCCCCCTCTCTGCGGCCCTGCAATTGACCATGCAACCCTATTTTCTCCAGGTGGTTGCGGGCTGCTCATACAGCGTGCCAAAATGGTGTCTGTTGTCACAATAATTATTGAACCAAATTGCCTCAATTCGTCCATAGGAAATACCTCTAGTTAATAATGATGTCGGGACTCTACTGCAAATCGCCCAGCAAAAAACCACCAAAACCATGAAAAAAATATTCAAAAAAAAATTTATTTCCGACCTACCGACCCTTTTTCATGATATGAAACCGGAACCACAGGTATTTTTTTTATATGCCACATGATAAAAATTAACATCAATACACTGGGAGGCCTCCAATGTGTGGAAAGGTTCTCTATATTAAATTGAAAACTAAGAAGCTATTGCCATCTTCCATGCATAAGAATTGCCATTTTCATGATTTTTTCAAGCTTTCTCAGAAAGCCACCTCTGCATCATTTTAGCTTGTGTGGCGGACCCTTGTTGGACTGGAAAAGATGAACAAGGCAACCTGGTTTCTGTAACTACGAAATTGAAAGCTAGGTTTTCTCTGTTCATCTTTTCCAGTGGCGGAAATCTAGGTGGGGCGGGGAGGCCGCCCCCCCTCGTGGAAAATGACAAATTTTCGGAAATTTTGACCTAAAAGAGGGCTAAAAACAGCCTTTTCGAGTGCAAATGGGGGGGGGGGGTTGTTGGAAATTTGAAAGTTTTGTCAGAAATTTAGAAGGCTTCGCCCCCCACCGGAAAAAGTGAATTTCCGCCACTGATCTTTTCCACTTCAATGAGGGTCATCTATATGTGGGATTGACCACACACTAGCTACCATAGTACGGCAGATGGTGGTCAACCTGTAGTCATTAGAGTGCTGTTCCCTTGCAAAAAAATCCAATTGGAATTCCAATGGAATTCTAATAGGAATTTAAATTTTCCAATTGGAATCCATTAAACTTCAGACAGAAAAAATCATTCCATTTGGATTTTTTCATGAGTGGTGGAAAATGGACAACATTCAGAGATACAACATTTAGCACAACGAAAACATGCACAAATATTCACATAAAAAGTTCAAAATTTACAACAAAAATTCGCAAATAAAACAAGTAAAATAACCTTACATGCTTACCTGAATATTATTGTGCCTCTATACAATTCTTCTACTCATCCTTTATCAACAAATATCCAAGATAAAACGGGTTAAAATTAAGAAATTAAAAGAAAATGTGAAAATTTTGTGGACATGTTTTTAAAACACGCGGCAAAGTCACATGGTCACAAATGGCTTTAAATTCACTGAGTACTTCATTTTATAATCATATATACGGACTCGCCTTTCAAGACGTCAAAAGATGAAGTGATTATGGCATATTTCATGATTCACCACTGTACATGCGGTTTGTCGTTGCATATGTGTTGTCGTCTGATTTTAATTTTGAGATTTGATTTAACCAATCAGATTTAACTAGATCTAACCATTCAAATTGTTTAAAGTTTCGCGCCAGAGGTTTCGCGCCATATTGACCAGCTAGGACAGTGAGCTGTATATATCTGGAGTGAGAACTGCGGAAATTGACGTCAAGTGGCCGATCCTGGCCCTTTCGATCATTCTACGCCGAAATTTCGTGCTTTGACTTTGATTTAAAGATTAATACTAAGGTTTTATGAACTGATAACTTGATTATCCATAATTCGTAAACCTTGCATGATACAATGTTTTTTGCATGCATGTTCACGTGCGCGTACACGTGCTTCCACGTGATATGGGCAGGACAACAACTATCTCTAGATTCCCGGCATCTTAGCTTTACTTCAGTAATAAGCCGAATGACTGTTTTTGGTCCAGATACATATGTATAGCGCTCACTGGGCTAGTTACTGCCAGTCTGCCACTGACCTCTATAAGTTGGGTATAATAAAAGTTTTTATTCTATTTGAGTGTTTCAAGATGATTTTTTCCAGACTTTTTAGTTTTTTTCTTCTGAAACTAGAATCGGCTTTCTTCCAACTCTAACATCCCCCGGACAAGACCACTCCAAGACGCTACGCAAAACAAATCCAATTTCAATTTCCCCGAGGGGTACTTGACATTGCTAGTTGAATATAATTGCGCGGTACTGGTGCAGTTCTGACGGTGACAAAAAGTCTTTGTCTACCAGGCAATTTTGGTCTGGTAAGAATGTCCGGCGTCATTATATATATTAAGTAGCCTGGCGTAGGTTTTGCCAACAATAAGAATATATAATAGATTGGATTTGTGCCCAAAAGCTTGAAATGCCTGATGACCTATATAGTCATGTATAGCGAATGGTGCCATGATGAGATTGAGAAAACAATGTGGATTGTTTTCATGGGGAGTCTTGTATTTGGAGGGAAATAGATACAATCGAGAGATGAATTTAATTTACTTAGACAAAGCTACTACATATAATGCAAAGAACTATAGGCATGAAAATGTGGCCGCTCAAAATGACCGGTGAGGTAAAAAAGTGCCCGGTCAACGGAGGCATATTTGACAGTCCACGCAATGTCACAGGGAACATTTCAAGCTCCAACTATATTTTAACTTCAATAGAATACATGATAGTTAATTGATAGTTTTGGGAAAGCACTAGAAAACCGCTAATCGCGTGACTGCCAATTCTCATGCGCTCTCATTCTCGATTCATCCGGGCTTGTAAGGTGTGTCGCTAAATTGCAGAAGATATCATATTCATACAACTCGGCCCACACAAAATCAAACCTATCTCGGTATAAGATCAGCCTGTGTAGCTTGCGGTTTTATAAAGGGTCGGGGTTGGGAAGCGAAAACTAGGGAGGCACCTGCGCCTCAATCTCAACTCTTAAAATGGCAGGCTACGCAGGCTAGTATAAGGTCTTCGAGGTATGTATCGTCCTTGTGTTTGGAGGGAAAGAGGAAGACTTAGCATCATTTGCTTGCTCTCATCATGGATTGTTTAAAAAATGGACAGGAGACAGCTGACGCCAGCAAAGCTGACATTTTTGAAGTTCTGTGATGTCACGCAGAGGATGTGACGAATACAATGAATATTTGAGCGCGTTTCTCTTCCATTTTCTTATATTTTTCGCATTCAAATATAGCTATATCGAGATTCAAAATGGCTGCTTTGTCTTTTAAACCTGCACCACGAGAATTCGAGGATGTTTTGTTTTAGGTTTTTAATTTCGTAATCAATAAATTGGCGTTTTTGTGTGTTTTTATGATGCATGCTCTCATTTGAGGTTGACCACCATGTGAAGCACTTCAATGGAAGCCAGTACTGACAGAACACAAAAGTTAATTTCTGTAGAAATTCATTGACAAGTATGGCAAACTGTCGAACTAGGTCGACAATGACATGTCATTATAAAGACGATCAAAAGACTCCAGCTAGTGTATTCTGCATGCGGCTATAGAATGAAGAGCCTGCTCCCAGCCGGAAATTTCGAAACAGTGTGCGACCACGCTAGAATGAACAGTTTTCCTTAGACAATTCAAGGAAAGCAGCAATTAACCAGCCGTTCATGCTAGTCTGTACTCGCCAGCTTTCCCTGAAAAGTACCAGGAAGTTAACTAGTGACGAGCTTTCGCTCGAAACGTCGAAGTTCTCCTTGTATTTTTTTCAGGTAGTTGCATGCCTATCAAACCGAAGCTTTCTTATTATTGGCAGACAGCTCAAGTAAGCACCATATAGACCAGCCCACCTCTCTACCAGAAATTCTAAACAACTATTATATCGAAACAATAAACTCGGCGTGAAAAAATCAGAATCTATAAATTCACTCTTTCACCCGACACAACCTTTTAATGGACGAGAATTTGGTATAATAGTTTCCATATTTGTCAAGCACTTTAAAATTGCAGCCAAAGGCCTCTTTATCGTCTAGAAACCTGATACAGCATGATTAAAAGCATCTCTACAGAAATGTATATACAAAGAGCCCCTACCGTTTATCACAAAGAGTCAGATATATATAAACTATAAACGATTGATCTTTAAACACATGACTGCATGAATTTCTATTATTGATGAGTTTCGATAACTGATAAGCAACATATTGTGGTCCGCTGCAGAAATGTTCACATTAATAGAAGATGCAAGAACATTCATTTACATCGCTCAATTATATTTACCACCAAATTTAGACTACCGCATATAATGAAAAAAATTAAGATTATTTAGGTTTCTCACTCTGATAACTGCAGGTTGAACACCATCATTATAAACCAACCTATTGCCTTATTATATGCACCCAAATTTTGAACCGTATCATTTTATTTTCCAGGAGTTGGTTTTTCAAAGCTAGATCCAGAATAGATTTCTGACGGGAATATTTCAAAGTTAAAAACAAAACTGTTGGGAAATTTGTTTTGAATATTAGGGTTTCGCTTGCCCCAGAAATACAAAATCTAACAAAACTTTAACCATGCATTCAAAATCATATACTCAAAACTTGTGCGTACAGGAAATTTAAAAAAAAACCACTTCATGACTGAATTTGCGATTTCCTACGCAGTCGACAGGCAATTTGGCAAAACATTACGCGATGCGCGCCCAGGCAAATCAAGTTTTGCATGACAAAGAACAGTCTTTATTACTATACTTAATTATTCCGCGGGGGCTGCATGAATTGAATTGTATATAAAACTGTGCTCAAGAATTGTTAGTGTCATTCGAGGGGAGGCTGACAATCGAATAAACACTTGGAACTGAAGAGAACCGTTTTCAGAAGACAAAAACGTAAGGTGATATATTTCCATGTATGTATGCATGAACTAAACATTTTTTGCATTGAAAGCTGATTTCTGTATTCAGTAATTTAGTAAGTGTATATGAGAACAGTGCGCATTGTATATGAACGGGTAGTGTCAAGCCGTCCGTCTTTTTTCTAAAGAGAATGAGACGCAGACACAGTCTCCCAACATAAGATATTACTAAGTTTACCTTGCCCAAGTTGCGTTATGTACATCGCTCTTTTAAGCGGATGACATGACGTCGGGTCTTAATTTGTAATGCATGGTATATATACTATTGTCTTGCGTCTTCTTAGTATAGAGATCTTATAAATTAGGAATAGCATGAATTTATGTTTTCTGTATAATTATACTTAATTGGTTCTTTCGTCAAATGTATTTGAGTATAATTACCTAATCAGGGAGACTACATTTTACTAAATCTAAAATAAAACACACAGTCTGTACAATTCAATTTCAAATAAATTAGAGACACAAATCACAATCGATAAAATATAATTAGCCCACACTGGCGTTGTATCTGTGATGAAATTCTCAATGGTTTCTCCGTAATGTTGTATGAGAACATAGACAGAAATCTTTACACATATAACATATTTAGGATAAACCAATAAAATTTCAAGAACCAACAGAATTTAAGATGCTTTTCAGAACAGCTTTTAGCCTCTGGTATTTTGCATCATTTATCTTATTTCCCACGCATCAAATAACTTTGGAAAATGTTCGGCACGCCGCACTGCATGCACTCATCAAAGGAACAATTAAAGATGCTGAAGACTTTGTATCGTAATTCTATACATCAAGTGTTTTCGTATAACAATTGATTTCCTTTTAAGCAGGGGAAATTAGTCGAAACACTTTGTGATGCAAGTAAATACTGATGATTAAAAACCAACATTTCAAAGTCATACGCACTCCATTCTCAATGTACAGGAGAAGAAGCCTTTTTGGGACGCCATCTTCCCAAGTGGGGCAACACTGCCAACACAATTGCAAAAAACATCCTCATCCGGCAATGAGAATACTTGTCCTTATGATTGTTACTCTATATTGCGTTTCCCCTACTTGTAAGATGCGACTCGAACTACGGAAAGGCGTAGTCTTCTTCTCTCTGCCAGTGTAGGTATTGCAATCCTCTCAATTCGCAGTTTTGCACTCTTCTATCCCCGAGAATGGGGTCGGCACGTTTTTGAAATGCCGGGTTTTATCATTACCGTTTACTCGTTTATTTCAGAATCATTGTTGTTAAGATTGTTGGTTAATATTTCTCCAATGTTTGAGTTGCTTGTGTAGACCAGGGCCTCTTAAGAATGCGTACGTAGAAGGCCCATCAAGAAAAAGGGAGCTTATCAAACACAACAGGACCACTATACACTCTATCAGAAAGGGTTGTCCATTACTGGACCCCTAGGAAAAGCAGTTTATAGAGAATAGACAGAGTATATTATAGATAATATATAAGTCTGGTTTACACTATCAAAGTTTCTGTGATCACAGTAGGAATTTTGCATAGGTCAAATCTTAAGTTTTGAAGGATTTGTAAGAAATGTTTGAGGGAACTGATTCAGTGTTCAACATTAAGTGAGTTTCCTCAAACATTTCTTACAATCCTTCAAAACTTATAGAATTTGCCCATGCAAAATTCCTACTGTGATCACAGAAACTTTGTCATCAGGCTTTACACAATACCAGAATTAAGAGGTTGTCCATTATTGGACCTCTAGGAAAAGCAGTTTACAGAGTATATGGAGCTATACAGTACAAATAAAGTTTGTCTAGTCAGTTGGTTTGAAAAAGTGGATTGTTCAAATGCACGATCGAAAGTTCTCCAAAACATTATGAATTCATGGACTAACAAAGATTGTTGTGTTTTGTTTTGTTGTGCTTAATTCACAAATCATCCCACATATTGCCTTATTTAGTAAATTATTTTAATTGTGTGTTAATGTCGCAATACTTTTGTTACGCCCTCACTGATGCGGTTCCTTATCAATATAAATAATAATAAATTCATTTTTGTTATATCTAGAGAAGTCATGTTCCATTTTCTGCTGCTCTTGCAGCTTGTGGTGTTGGTTGCTTCGCGTGCAAGGCAAGTAGCCACGTATAGCCAAAACTACAGAGGCCGATTAGCAGTAAGGTTAGGGTGTCGGATAAGACAGGTGTGAATCAGGAATATAGGGTTGGAATTAGACTTAAGATTAAGGTAAGATTATAGTTAGATTCGAATTTAGATTAGGGTTAGATTAAGATTAGATTAGGATTAAGATTAGATTAGATTTAAATTAGGATTAAGGTTAGGATTGAGTAATGGTTAAGATCAGGGCAAGGTTTAAGACTGGGATAAGGAGTTAGTTTGTTAATATATAAATTGTCCAACAAACGTTTTGTGTGTTTTAGGTTTCCTTTTGATGAAGAAATCTTTGAGGACTTAGTGTTTGAACAGAATGATCCAAATTTGAACCCGGGCTTCAATCTCGATGGATTTCGTCAAAATCAACTTGACTTACATAATCATTACCGCTCACTCCATGGAGTGGCTCTGATGAGTAGAGATGCAACGTAGGTTTTGTCGTTATTGAGTGATCCAATATTGAAGAATACAAACAAATACAATGTTAGAAACAAATGCCTAACACAATACAACGCACTGCAGTGCAATAGAATCCACACCATATACCACCCCATATTATATCATACCATACCATACCGTAACATGTCATAACCATATTATACTACACCATACCAAATCACAGCACACCATACCACATCATATTATACCATACCATACATATCATACTATATCACAACATATTATACCACACCATACCACACCACAGCACACCATACCACATCATATTATACCATACCATACTATATCACAACATATTATACCACACCGTACGTACCACAACACAGCACACCGTACCACATCATATTATACCATACCATACATACCACACTATACTACAACATATTATACGACACCATAGCACACCATACCACATCATATTATACCATACCATACATACCATACTATATCACAACATACCATACCACACCATACCAACCATACTGCTTTATTCTGCTCACATGATAATACTGGATACCTAGGGCGCTTTCCATCAACACGGCCAGGCAGATCAGAACGGTCAAATTGTTGAACAGAACACAAAACATTTGGGCTTCGGACCTATCTGACCGGAAAATTTAGATAACGTTAGAATAAGGTCCATTTTCGCTACATGTTTGAGAAACATAGACCAGATCTCTTTCCATTGACACAGAGAAAACAATTCGCGTCCCTAGTGAAGTACACTGATCCAGTCCTTGGACTGGATCAAAATTAATTCAGTCCTTGGACTGGATCAAAATTAATTCACCTCACTATAAGTAGTAATTTATTCGTGTGTGATGTCATTTCAAATCCTCCAATTCGGACTGGACTAGATTATTTCAAGTCCTCGCATCTTGATTCAGTCCTCGGCTTCGCCTCGAGCTTTATCAAATTGCGCGGATTTGAAATCTAGTCCGATCATCATAGTCGGATTTGGAATATTACATACCATACCATACCATACCATACCATACCATACCACGCCATAATGACCATACCATACCTTACGAATTCCTCATAAACATGAAATTACAATAAGCGAGATAATATTACAGCGCTTTAAGTGAACATTTTTCAACTACTTAGCCTAACAACTCAAGCTCAAGCGTATGCAGAAACTTTGGCAGCTAAGAATTCCGGACTGGAACATTGTGCTAATGTTGTCGACTGCGATCCAGATGGAGCTGGCGAAAACCTAGCATTTGCAGGCGGCAGTACTTCAAGTGAAACCAACGCCACAAAAGCATGGTAAGGGAATGTCTTAAAGAATACCTGGGTTTTAGGGTTTTACTAAATGCTGTTTTACGGCGTTTTTGACACGTGCGTATACGCATGGAAAACTATGAATGGCATTTAGATCTCTGTGTCATTTATTAATGAAGTTTAATATGTTGAAATAACTGGCAACCAAAGCGCAATTTTGCAAAACAACACACAGCAGACGGCATTATGTAGTGCTCGAACGGTTTAGAGGCTCCCGCTAACCTAAGTTTTACCTATAGAGGAACAGGTGAACCTCTAGATTGCAGAGGGAGTAACGCGGCTCTGTCTGCCCTGATGGTATAGGGACCACCGGCCACTGGTGACAGTATGGGTACTCAAGACCTGACAGAGCATGCAAAAACTGTAGGTTTTTCTAGAGGAACAGGTGAACCTCTATAGATAACAGGGGAACAGGTGAACCCCCGTTCAGGTCAGTCAGCTCGTTGATGTTGAGTACTAGTTGAACTGGTGTTGGTCAGTTGGTAAAAGGTCGTAAAAGGTACTCTCACGAAATGCCTTATTAGGACACTTCACGTGGGGAAGTGTTATCAATGTGTATTCGCTTAGTACTAATTAACTATTAATTGTCCTTTTTTATCAGGTACGATGAGATTTGGGATTACAATTTTTGCTATAAAGGTTACGGAACCGGTAGTCAGAGACCAGGTCAAGAAAGCAAACAAGTCGGTCATTTTACACAGGTATACATATATCTTGATAATAATCAATCAATCATGATCTACTTTTGAGGATGTTTTTCAATCTCAGTCAGGCCTCGAAACAATTCTGGAAGGTATAACGGTCAATCGGTCATCATGAGCGTGATGACTCACATCTTGTAGCAAGTCTGCCAACAAGTCATGCTCCCCGAACATGTTTTGAATTTTGAGTCTCTGAAATGGTCCTCAACAGTCTGTTTAACACCACTACAAGACACACTGCTTACAAAACATAATCTCTTCCCCGACAAAATGCTAATTTTTCCCCGATAGGGGGGCTGTAGCTCCCCCTCTGGCGCAACCCTTGCCAGTGACCGGCGCATAATTCGAGGCCTGAATTCTCAATTATTGTTAATTAGGTTGTGTGGGAAAGATCAACACTTCTTGGCATAGGCTATGCTCGAACTGCGGACAGAACTAGCGTTTATGTCGTTGCACGATATAAACCCGCTGGAAATGTTCAGGCTACTTTTAGAAATTTCTATCAAGAAAATGTGAAAGTTCCTGCGTATATACTGGGCACGTTCCAAAACAATTGTGACGGTATGTCTTGTTTTAATCTTCTAAGAATGTGGCTATTTAAATATTATTATAAGTTCCTGGTAGTGCAATTTCAAATGTTTAAGAAATTAGGTTGTTTAAGATCATCACCACCACTACCAACACCACTATCATCGCCACTACCATCTTCACCACCATCTTCACCACCATCTTCACCACTACCATTATCATCATCATCACCACCATCATCACCACCATCTTCACCACTACCATTATCATCATCATCATCATCATCACCATCATCACCACTACCATCTTCACCACCATCTTCACCACTACCATTATCATCATCACCACCATCGTCACCATCATCACCACTACCATCATCCATCACCCATCATCACCACAACACTAAAATTTAAAATATTTGCTCAGAGCTTAACACATTAATGAAAAAACGAACCTTTCTCATTTTTCTCCACCTAGGTACAAACGGTGGTCTCACGAATTTCATGGGACCAGGACCGTGCACACGTAGTTGTGGCGGAGGGATTCAATTCCTTACCAAGACGTGCACTAACCCCAAACCCTCCCTCAACGGAGCCGACTGCGTTGGTGAAACAAAACAACTTGCTGCTAGGGAATGGTGCAACACTCACGTGAGTTTTAGGAGCTGTTTACACGATTGTTGTAGATTACCGGGACGGATCACTAGGCACGAAAGTTCAAACGTTCGTTAAAAGAACTCAAATGTTGCCGAGAAGATTTCGTAGTTCAAGAAGATTATTATTGCTGCTTGAACAACCTTTCATTTACAATTATACTATAATCTATCACCAGAAAAACAATGTCATTTTGCTGAATCGTGCACAGTGACTTATTTCAATACACCAAAATCATCCTGCTTCACGCCTCATCCCAGCAAAGCGGGATCATGAAATCAGCCCCTTAATTGGCAATACATATATTGTTTTGTTTTGTGGAACAATTTTATGTTTTCAGATCCATAAGTCCAGATCTTCATCAGAATATCATATTATTTGAACTAACGAAGATCTAAGTTCTTTGTACGTTTGCATGGCGATAAAACATATAATAGTTTTGTTTTTAACGCAGATCTAGTATTTTCATCAAGGGTGATCTGATGAATGTAGTTTGTTCAGGCATTTATTTACTTAAACCAGAATAGCGAAAACATGTCTGATATTATACCAGGAAGAAGTGCATGAAAACACTAGATTTGAGTGTCAAAACGTTGAGTCGTGACTCGTGAATGTAATTTGTTCGGGAATTGCATCATTTACTTGAAACAGAGCAACATGTTTGTAATTATACTTGGTTGTGGTGAACTGATAAAATTTTAACATGCGCCCCTTATTTTATTTAGAGCTGTCCAGGAAACCAGCACCACCGTGATTTACAATGCGCTGCTCGCGGATATACAGCCCAACACACAATTTTCGGAGGATCAAGTATGTATTCCATAATTATCATATATAATCATGGAGCGAAAGGGATTCAGCGAAATATTGCCCGAAGTAAAAGCCCCGAAGGAAATATCATCACTGCGGAATATTGATGATAACATATTTCAAAATCTGCTTCATAATTTAAAAAATAGCTTTCTTTGAAGTTTTTAATAATTCATCACTCCTCAGTATATATATTTTGTCGGCCATCTTGTTTGCGTGATTGCCGCGCGTGGTTTACGCGAATCATATCACCCGGGCGATATGATCAAATCACCGCTACGTCAAATACGATGACGTAAGGCGTGATTCGATGATCAATTTCATGCTCACGTGGCACAAACTTAGCTTTCTGATTGGACACCTTGAATTTGAGGTATAATATACCAACATCGTTCATTGTATTTGTACTTTTTCTTGTTTGATGTTGGATGAAAATTTTGAATAAAGTCGAACCCAATAGGCAATTCCAGCTTTTAATTTATGCGCGCAGGGGAGGATGGGAAGTAAGGTATCATATTGCTGATTATGCTGAAAAAAAAAATGACGGCCGTGTTAACACGGAGTGATAGCTTATACTTGTAAATATTGAAATATTTCGGTTGTTTCGGTAGGTTTTTTTGAAATGTTTCAGCATAATCAGCAATATGATACCTTACTTCCCATCACCCCCTGCGAGCATAATTAAAAGGTGGAATGGCCAATTCAACATCTTCCAACATATTACCAAACATAACGTTTAAACTGACACAACAGTTGCATCCACCAACGTTGGAATATATTGCGTCAACATGCTGGACTGGATTGAACGGGCGTTTGGAAACCACGAAAACTAAACTTGATTCCAGCCGTCGTGTTCTTTCAGTGTTGGTGATTGTAAGATGGTGATTGTGATCAGATGGTGGTGACGGTTAAGAGTTCGAAATAAAATTGAAAAAACTTTAGTAGTTAAAACCGTGCATATAGTGAACACTGTATTCTTTTCCTTGTATAGGCGAGTGCACTTTACACTGCTTACTGGGAGGTAACACATATACAAGTGCTGGATTTGTTGATGACGGAACACATTGCAACTCAGACGCCGGAGCCTGCGTGAATGGTTTATGTCAAGCCATGCCCAAATATGTTCCCGGCGCTCCACCTACGACCGCCGCACCCGATACAACCACGATGGAACCCGATACCACCACGAGAGAACCAGAAACCACTACGACAGAGCCCGAGACGACCACGATGGAACCCGAGACGACCACGATGGAACCCGAGACGACCACGATGGAACCCGAAACAACTACAATGGAACCTGAAACAACTACGACGGAACCCGAAACAACTACGATGGAACCCGAGACGACGACAGAACCCGAAACAACTACGACGGAACCTGAAACAACTACGACAGAACCCGAAACAACTACGACAGAACCCGAAACAACTACGACGGAACCAGAGACAACTACGATGGAACCCGAAACAACCACGACGGAACGCGAAACAACTACGACAGAAGCCGAAACAACTACGACGGAACCAGAGACAACTACGACGGAACCCGAAACAACTACGACGGAACCCGAAACAACTACGACGGAACCCAAGACGACGACAGAACCCGAAACAACCACGACGGAACCCGAAACAACTACGACAGAACCCGAAACAACTACGACAGAACCCGAAACAACTACGACAGAACCCGAAACTACAACCACAAGAGCACCCGAGACCACTCCATCACCAACTCCAGCGAGTAAGAATCATATTTTGTTATACGTCAACCTTCCTCAAAGGCCCACAACGCCACAGAATACTATGCAGAAGTCCATCTCCATTGTTTTTTGTGTAAGCGCTATTTGTCATGATTCGTCACTCGGCAAGTTCCGTAAACAGAAGCAGTCACCCCCTGGATGTGTGCCATTTTAAATATTTCCAGGGGGTGACTGCTTCTGTTTACGGTACTTGCTGACGAATCATGACAAATAGCGCTTACGCAAAAACCAATGGAGATGGACTTCTGTATAGGATTCTGTGACAACGCCGTGCATTGTTACAACCCCTGGTTACAACCTGCAAGCACCTGCCTTGCAGGCTACGAGGATTGTGGGAGGTGTTTCCACAAAACAGATGAATTATAGTTATTTTCTCTTACAAAAGGAACGTATTATTGTCATTTTAGGAAGACGTGTGCGAGGTCGTCGTAATACTATTGCTGTGATACGCAGGGTTAGTTTGATCGTGACCATACCAAGTGGAGGATCTAATATATTTCTGTACAAGAGACGGTACAGAATATTCCATTTTGGTAAGAAAATTTGTATTCAGCAAAAACGCACATCTGGTTCAAGGAAATGAAGGCTGCGATTTCTAGCATTCCACTCCGTTAATGCGGCTACTCGCGCTAAATTTAAAAAACTAAAACGCCTGTGAACATTGACACGGCAGATGCCCTTTCAAGAGTGATTTATTTCCCACCTCGAATGACACATGCGCAACATTGAGTTGGGGGAGCGGGGACTTAAGAAGCGCAACACGACTTAAGTGCTCATTCAATAACCCCATCAATTCCAGGTGATCTGACGGTGAGCAAAATAACTGGGACTAGCAACAGAATAGAAATCCAGTTTCGTACCTTTAATCACTTTTCACGCCCCGATTCTTTTGCGAAACTGTTTGAAACTTTGTGTCTGTGTCTTGCACAGGGAAATGGATATCTGGGACAAATTTGAAATAGAAATCTAATAGCGTTAATTGAGTAATTTTAAACCACAAATGGATTTCTATTTTACAATTAGTGCCAGACCTTTTCCTAGATCCGAGATCACCTGGATTCAATCACATTTCACGTGTGGTTATACGCATTTTGTGTTATATGGCATTAAAATTTAAACCCGACGACTTAACATATATTTTCATTTCCTGTCATCTAGTTTATCGTTTTAAGAAGGTGGAGAATGGTAAATACTCCAGGTGGCGTGCATTACGATGCAGTCCATACCGACGGTCATGCAGAATCAGAGGTGGGGACAAACGCGTAGAAAGGTCACGAGTTGTGTGGACTAAACCAACACAGCTCTATCAGTTCTAACCTGTTCTCTCTATTATCGTCCACTCAAGAAGATTTTCCACGGACAGAAAATTTTCCGAAAATATCATTGTTACACCCGTTTTCAAAATTACGCGACCTCCCTGAAAAATACTCTTACTTCAAATGTCAGTTTTATGTCACAAAAACTGCTAAAAATAGCAAACGTAAACAAACTGTCAAAAGACATTTTAAACCGTATTTAATACCAAAACTGAACAAAAAGGAGTTAGATAACTTAGATATACAAACTAAAGCACAATACAAACCATCACAACAGAAATATTTGCCGTGAATAACTTTTAAAGTTTAAAAGATAACAATTTATCCTGGAATTTAGCTGTAAGTATAAAACACGCGCGCTAGACTATAACGGTGATGTTATGATTTTATTTGTGCTTAAATTTTGCAATAATTTTCACTAAAATATCTTGAAAATCATTCTAAGCCTGTTTTTATAAAACATACAAAGCATAAACATCGACAAGGAACCGCAAAACTCAAAGTTTAAACTTCGTGACCGAATGACATAAAACTGACATGTCAACTCGAGCATTTTCGTCCTTGGTCGCGTAATTTTGAAAACGGGTGTAAAAGTTGAAAATTTTCAACTTCAAAATTTTTTTCCCACGGAAAATTTGTGTCGACCAATCACGTTTTACAAAATCTTCATGGACCACCTTTTGAGCTAACTCAAGAAAAAAATCGGAGTACATTGAGAAAACATAGGATTTGATTGGAAACAATCTTCTCGCGTGTAACCATGGATTGCAAAATAACATTATTGTTATTTTACATGGTGTAACTAAGGTTTAACTAAGGTGGAATCAGGAATGAAATTCACAGAGATAATTCAATTATATTTCAATTCTTGTCTAGGTCCCATTCCAGCGGGTTATCAAGTCGAAATTGGTGCGTACGCTTCCCGTGTTTGCAGGCGCGTCAGAATCGGAGGCAGGTTGCGTCTACGATGTAGTCGTCGTCGGCGTCGTTATCGCGTGTCCGTCTACTATCGATACTACGTATAAACATCGCAGTCCAAAAGGTGGGTTTCGGTAAGCGTGGTACAAGGCTGTGAGGTGGAGATCTACTGGGTGTCCAAAGAAGTCCACCTTTAGAAATCAATCTTGTGCGATATTATACCTTTGGGAACTACCTCCTCCGCAGGCCATACAGCCTGTAATGAGTATGCCCGTTCGCAGGTTAAAATTTGAAATCTGAGACGAAGCTGCTGTAAGCTTCCGAGACGAAGCTGCTGTTAAGTCAGGGTTAGGTTAGACGAAGCTTTCCATTCGTTTCCCATCAATTTTATATTTTTGAAAGGCCTGCGGAGGAGGTAGCCTTTGGGAATATAATTTAATTGTAGCATATACATCTGTCAATTTTATTTATTTGCCTTCAAATACAAAACTATTACATGTAATGAAAAGAATGAACATAATTTTCTCATTCAGATAACTGCAGATCAGCAGATTGACTATACCATCTGCTGCAGGATAGTACTTGGTAAACTACCGGTTATCAGAATGAAAAAATGGTAGTAGTTCCTCTCATGCAGATTGTATTTGGAGGGAAAAAAAATTGAGAGATGAAGTTTTTTTTTCTTTTATTAAATGAACATTTCTAAAATTGACCATCTCCTCTAGCCTGGTATAATGCTGACTGAAACCCACCAATACTGAAACGTCACCAAGTTTTCTTTATATATTCTTTGCAATCACAGTATAATTGGATTTTTATATGCAAGCACGACTGTTTTAAATGAATTCATAAAGGCATTGTGAATGTCTTGCAATATGATTAATTGGGCGTTTTATTCATTTTTATTATTTGAGGGATCTATATATGTAATCATGCACGTTGGTATCGCAATAAAACTTTCAAACATGGAATGTGTGTTCATTATATTTTTACTGTTTACAGTACTAGTCACACTCATAGATATCTTATATACACTAGATAGTGCATCTAATTATTCTGCAATTCAAAAATTGTAGCCGTGATTGCAGACTCAGGATATTCCCATGAAACGAGAAGACTCGTATGTTTTCTATTTCTTAAACATGAAACTTAAACATTAAGTTAAACCTATTCCAAATACATTTTCAAACTGTTCAAATAATGAAAGTTTATATTGCTGTTTTTTAAGCGTTTATTAGCGAGTGGGAAACTCCAACATGGCCGAGATCTATTCAAATGGGGGTAACCGCTGGAATATTCTTGGCTTCAATTTTACTAAAAGAGATGCGCTATCTAGTGTATATAAGATATCTATGGTCACACTGCAGTATGCGTTTGTACATAAACATAATCTTGAACGTCTGTGCCAGTGTAGGTCGTGGGCCTCGTGGCAATAATAAGAAAGCTTCAGATTGATAGGGATACAACTCCCTTAAAAGTACAAGGAGAACTTCAACGGGAACTAACTTCGTCGGGAACTAACTTCGCTCGAAAAGTCGAAGTTCTCCTTGAATTATCAGGTAGTTGCATTCCTATCACTCCGAGCTTTCTTCTTGCTGTCGTAGAACTCGTCGTTTAAAGGATATAGTAATTATCGCGCAATTTTTACTGGTGCCGCTGACAGCCAGCCATAAATATGAGTTACTCGACGTCACAAAAGAGGAATATAAAGAGAATAATACATGGGTGCGCGGAAATACCAGATTTATTTCGAGTGTTGAACATGATATCTCACGAGTGAGCGCAGCGAACGAGTGAGAGGTATCATGCATGATCAACGCGAGAAATAAATCTGGTATTTCCAAGCATCCATGTATTTTTCTGTTTATTATATAAACAAAACTCAGTGAAAAACAATAAAACGTCCGTGGCAATGCGTTTTACAACAAATGATATTTTCACACGTAAAAATATCGTATTTTTTACGTGTGTTTAAGTACGATCTTTCTCAGTGGCCAAAAACTCTATATAACACTTATGTTTATATAATAAAATGTATTACTCAATTATCAGCGATCAGCAACTTCGAACATGTTATTCTCCATGCAACAAGTGCATGTGTGTCAAGTGGTGAACCACTATAGTACCTGTAATTAAAGTCTGAAGGTGGCTCAAAATAAGAACCGACTTTTAAGATCTCGATGTACATAAACTCGCGTGCAGTTTCATTTAACTCTATGGCACATAGCCCTATCCTGGTTCTTCCTTTTAACCATATCTTTCCAGTGCTCCTCGCCAGATTCCTCAGCATGGTTACCAATTTCAATTTCACCAACGGTCAGATCTTCAGACAAACTGTTGTGAGACTTCACTTTGAACGACATGCTGTATTCAGAGATCGGGATTTTAGGATCGATCTCGAAAACCAGAGGTTCGTTCCAAATGGGCGACGTGGTTCGGCGTTTTATGCTTGTCTTCTTGGTCTGAATTGTTTTGAGATTGAGTAGGAGTTTCACGATTACATAGGGATCTAGGGGATTAAACGAAAACGTTGAATGTTGAACTAAAGTAACTTGATTTATTTGCATTGCATGCATGGGTAGCTCCAATAAAGGTCCATGCAATAAGACTAACCTCTTATCGATCCAGTAAACCTAAATTAAACTGACTTTGTTAATACTAGACAGTTTTATCAGTTCTAAACTCATCTCTCTATAGAGGTCCAGTAATGATCATCTCTTATTGATCTAATATTACTACAGGAGGTAACCTAAACTAAACTAACTTTATTTATACTGAATAGCTCTATCAGTTCTAAACTGTTCTCCCTAGAGGTCCAGTAAGGATCGTCTCTTATTGATCTGATGTTACTGCACGAGGAAACCTAAACTAAACTAACTTTATTTATACTGGATAGTTCTATAAGTTCTAAACTGTTCTCCCTAGAGGTCCAGTAAGGATCATCTCTTATGGATTCAGTGTTACTACAGGAGGAAACCTAAACTAAACTAACTTTATTTATACTGAATAGCTCATCAGTTCTAAACTGTTCTTCCTAGAGGTCCAGTAAGGATCATCTCTTATTGATCCAGTGTTACTGCAGGAGTAAACCTAAACTAAACTAATTAATTTATAATGGACTTTAATATTTATAAACGTACCAATAGCAAAAATCTTGCTGATACTTGGCAAATTCACTGCCTTCATAATAACCACTGTAATTTTATTTGTGAGAATTTGATATTTTAGAGATATCGTCAACTCTCCTTTGTTCACTATATCTTTGAGTGATAACAGAGAACTTGAGATTCTTGGCTGAAAAAGGAGAAAAGAAAATTTAAAAAGAAATCATTGCCTGTAAAGGGCATTCACTCAAAACTTAAAAAAAAATTGACAAAAAATTGGTAAATAAAAAAATTGACTTAATTGACTTAAAGAGCTCTTTGTTGATTGAAAGTTTGAGTCAATGTTATATAAATAAACATATTGAAGATGTCTTGATTTGGAGTATACGAGGACGGTTACGAAAAATAGTTAACTGTATAGTGGACAAGACCCTCTCTATGGTAGGAATCGAATGCCATTTCAGTGCAGTGCTTGGATCACTGGAGCCACAAAGTTCATTTGTCAAGAGCAAACAACAAATGTGCATAGCCATAGAATATTTGCATATATACTTTTCTCTCAAAATTTCTAGTGTGGAAAATCTATAAAAGCCTATCTACAAGATACGGCTATTTGTATACGATTCTTATCCTGGCGTATGTACTCGAATAGATCACATTTCAAACTTCGCCATAAATTGATGAACAGGAATGGTAGCGTCAGCAGTCGTTTTCATACGCCAGAATGACAATCGTATATGCGACAGTCGCATCACAGAATAGATACTGGACCAGAAGTGTCACTCAGACGATATTTTGTCCGAAATTTTACGAGTGCTGATGTGAAAATACGCCTTCATATGACGCCATCCTGGAGTGCACACGGATGTTTCTCATAGGACAAACATAGGTGCAAAGTGCCGTGTGCACTCCAGGATGGCGTCATAGCACGTAAAAAATTTCGGACGTTTTCCCAAAGCCAAAACACATATAGGAGTGTCCCTTCTGGTCTGGTATATATTCTGTGGTCGTATCGTGTACAGCCAGGCTGTTCACACTAACAATTTTGTCGGCGATTTTGAGTTTCTGACGGATGCAAATGAGTGAACTCGCATACAAAAGTATAGAGTCGCTTTTCAGAAGTAAACAATTCTAAGTCTTTTGTATTGTACGTTATTCATTCGATCACATTTGCCAGGAGAAAGATCGCCGACAGAATTGCTAGACGTGTAAACCATGTCCATGCTTTAACGTTGCGTTCCGTCGACTAAATCTCTCTATAATGCTAGTTTTATCATACGTTCAGGCTCACGAGAATCAATGGGCGCTTTCCATTAACACGGCCAGACCGGTCAAATTGTTGAATGGAACACAAAACACTTGGGCTTCGGACCTATCTGACCATAAAATTTAGATAACAATAGAATGAGGTCCATTTTCGCTAGATATTTGAAAAACATAGGCCAGATCTTTCCATTGATACAGAGAAAAGAATTCGGGTCTGACCAGTCAGGCCATTAAATGGAAAGCGCCCAATATATAATATTGGCCAGTCATTGAAAAGTGAATTCGCTTTCGTTTATGTAATTACGTAATAGGATGTTTTTGTGTTATGCAAGCAAGGGGAATCGTATTGATGCAATCATAAACAGACCATTGTTCTGCTTTGATGAGTTTAACAATCAGATCGCTGAAACGGAAGACAAATTGTCAAAACACAGAACGCGAACATGAATTCTTAATGAATGCCGCTTAGAAGAAGATTCTGGTTGACTCGTACAAAATTGTTCAATGAATGCTCTGCATTATAATAAACTATTATAATAGATTATTGGGTGCAAAACCAAACTTCACTTTCGAGTTGTCAATTTTCAATGCATCTATTAGTAAAAAAATGATTAAGCTTTATATTCTGGCCTATTTACTTGGTATTTGTACGCAAATTGTTTCACTTAACTCAGCATAGGTCACATATTTAATTTTGAGAGGCTGACAGTGTTTGCTGCACGTGGGTACTCTAAGAAAACTGTGCCCTAACAAGCTACACCTTCAGGCTTCTTCCCTATCGTGCAGCAGATGGTCAACCTGCAGTTATCAGAGTGAGAAAATGATGTTCATTCTTTTCATTATATGTAGTCGACTTGTGGCAAATACATAGAATTCACAGATGTAATTTAATTCTCTTGCTCCTAAAAAGTCTAAGTGACAATACTTCTTCCATAACGTTGACCACCACTGATATATCGTGTCTGTGATCACAGTAGGAATTTTGCATGGGTAAATTCCAAGTTTTAGAGGATTGGTAAGAAATGTTTGAGGGGACTAACTTAATGCTAAACACTGAGTCAGCTCTCTCAAACATTTCTTACAATAAATATGGATGAAACGCGGTCAGGTGAACTCGTTCTCTGACCAAAAATAATTTATTTTGACGAACTTTCGGCCACTAGACTGTAGTCTTACAATCCGTCAAAACTTAGAATTTACCGATGCAAAATTCCTACTGTGATCACAGAAACTTTGATTGTGCCAACCAGGCTTTAAGAGACAGCCATCAATGTTACCAACCTGCTGATCATTGGGTGCAGTGATAGGTCGCCATAAGGTGGTCGGTTTCTCAGGGTTGAAATCCAATTCTGCCAAAGGTGCTCTGACTTGACCCACGACGGTACTGTGACTAAACCGATCCACGGTACACAACCTTAGCTTCAGGGTCATATTTAGTAGTTCATCCGAGGAAATCTCAGGAAATTCTGCAGTTTCGTCAAATACTGGATTATTGGTATGCAGTTGTATGTTCGTTGTATACTTCTCGGCTACTGGCTCTAATTCCACTTGTATGTAACTGCCGTAGTTCAGGCCAAAAGTCGAAGGGACTTTCGAAGCGCATACAAGCTGCAGTATTAACTTGGAGTGGTAGTAGTTATAGAACACTGTGAATTGAATTTGACAGACATGGTTACAGGAATCTGTTTTGCTGCGGCGATATCGGCGAGATCTTCTCTCTTTAATGCCTGGGGTCTCGGCCGATTTCTTCCCCTTTTCTTCCGTTTTCGGACCAAGATCTGAGATGGCGTTTCGGCGATCCGGGCAAGACACCGACCTGGGTCTTTCGGGTACACTATCTGGGATAGCCCAAATTATCTTAGGGTTAGGAGGCTGGACCGTCTCGCATTGTGTTGGGACTTTGGAACTTGTGTACATGGCCCTGTTTTGAAGAAAATCTGCAGGGGTAGGGTTTGTATCAAGTGGCGTGTACTCATTGTTCTCGGCTTGGCCTTTTAGATATCGTTTGCGCTTGATGAAAATGAGGCAGATTAGCAGCAATACCACAGCTGCTAGAACTCCTACGGTAATCCCTTCAAACACTGGAGTCAAGTTTCCTAAAATGAAAAAAATTCTTCTTTTATCCTGGTTTTCGTTTTGTAATGGCAATCATGTCAAGGTCAGGAGAGATCAAAAACTCATGCAAATCTGTTCGTCAGTACAGCAAGGGCATGCATGCTATAACTTAAATTCATGAACATACTAAATGTTTATCTTTGGTAACTTCTAGATTTAAAATAGCTCTTACAACCAAGTTCGGGGGTCGTATTGCAGGAAGCTTAAACCCACAAAAACTCAAACACAAATTCCAAAATAAGTATTTCGAACTAACCAAACCCTACATTAAAAATGCATAACGCATCCTCACATACAGTATAATCATGCACATTGAAACAAAAACATAAAAATTAAAACACTTACCCATTCTTTATGAAATAAAATGCTGAGATTCCAAGATCAACTTCCTTTTGGGAAATTTTATATATGAAATCCGATCTAGCAAACCTTAAGATTAAAATTCATATACAGTGACTTTGCATAATACATTTTCAAACCATTAATTTACACGATAAATTTAATTAAGCTCTTACCTAAGCGTGAATATCACTCCATATCTTTCAACACAAATTACAGAGGTGTTCTTCGATATATTTCATAATAGATCATTTCGGTGATTCCAGACCGTGAAATTAGCCCATGTTTATAGTCTGTATATGCCTAGCGTTGATGGAATATGTACAGCAAGCGAAAGGAAGCGTAATGTCAACCGAAATATCGCGTATATCAACAAATGTCATCTGGTTTCAGCACTTTTTAAGAGTTCCTCAAACTATATTCATGAGGTTAAAATTAATTCTTGCGTGATCGCGGGCGAATTATTGACATGAGTTAACGGGAACTATCATGTTTTACTACAGAGTGTGGTATAATTCAATATAATAGGCAAACAATTTAATCTGTAGGGGTCCATGATGTAGTTCTTTTTAATTTAAATTAAATCGTTTGGTTTAAAGATTTCCGCGTTCCGGTTGGAGTGTGTTACACTACAAAATATAAATATAGTTTATGATTATCGAATATAAGATTATATAGTATCCGCTAATTGCCTGACGAAAGTCTTTGCATGAAAGGTCCCTTCTATGTGACTGAGTTAAGCATGGTTAGATCGTGCAGAGGTAGTACATGTTCTTGAATGCGAGGTGACCCTAAAGTGATGTGATTATGACACTAAAGTGATCTGATGTTAATTAAACCGAACTTATATCACAATTCACATTTCACAACAAAATATTCACTAAACTTCAAATGAACTTTTTAAAGATTTTATCTGGATAACTGGATTCATAATATGATTTATGTTTTCTTTAATTAAAGACATCAAAGCATTTTTGTCAAAATGAGGTCTAGTCTTTCTGTCTTTTACTCTTCTCTAATGGAATGAAATGGATGCAAGAGAAAGCGTTATAACTAGTGATATTAAGTGCATAGCCAAGGTAACAGAATAGTCTATTTGTGAAAAGACCTCACTGCCAGGTAAGTATAGCTATGTTTGCTTTGTAATATTCCTCAATATTACATAACACGTAGAGTAGAGCAAATTTGAAAAGATTAGAATGACTTGAAAGAGTGAATATAATTACATGTATACGTAGCCACGTTTTTAACGAGCTAAGACGCCGATGTTGCCAGCAGGTTTCTTTGGCTACTGCATGCCTACAGAGCCTGCCAGCCGGACCTCTACTCAAGTTCTTAAAATAATTGAGGAGAAAGAGCTACCTTTACATTAACATCAAGTAAATGGTTAGAATTTCGCCTCTTCTCGAATAAGAACGTTAAAATCCGCTCACCAATGAGAAACTCAATAAAATGGATCTTTATGAAGAACAGAGCTATCCAGTTTATATATACAGCTCGTTTGGTCCTTTTAGACTCGCTAACTTGCATTTTGGCAGATTTTGCATTGCTCATTAAGGCAGCAATCCACCTCTCTGTTTGAGATCAGTCGCGCACTGAACCATCTTCCAATAACAATGATTTACATATTGTACTGATTTCCATATAATCAAACATTCAAACTGGCTTCGAGTCAAAAAACCACATCAAAATAACCAAATAACAATTTCATTTGAGCACACAAGACCTATCACTGCTTCAAACCCTGTCGCTAGAATACATACACGATTCAGATTTTAAAATAAACCTATATATATTGAAGATTGCATATATTAATTCTGAACATGAATTTTCATGTCAATTTTAGGAAACGTATTATTGTAGCATTGTGGGACGAACAATTGTTAGAACAGCTTTTCTATTTGATTCGAGCAAATTTGTGGAAGGATTAAAAATGAAATGGAGGGCAAATAAAATGTCAGAAAATTGATTTAATCTTTAAAATCCAAGCGTCAATTATGGGTGAGTACTTGCCTTACCATGTTGATTTTATTGCTGTGACAGCTCGCTGCCTTATTGGTCAATTACGCGCTAAATTGCAAATGCTATACTGAGTGTTTATACTTTACCTTAATTCAAAAACAAAACTAAATACTTTATAGTATAAGACTAAGAGTCAAGAATAAATTCACGTGAAGTTTGAAGGTAAATTTTAATGTGTTAGTTTTATTTGCTGTACATAATATAACGGGTTAAAAAAGCTTAATAGTGGCGCAATTATTTGTGGTAATTTTGTGGTCTAATGATTATTCGAAAGCCACTGATGCATATTTATATTTCTGTACAATTTCAATACTTTCCAAGGCTTCATCCCAAACAGAACAGGGTGAATTCAAAACTGTACCCATGCAGATTTAGGATTTTGACCATCTCACTCAATAGAATGAAATGTTGTATAGGATTTTATAGATGGAAATTTGAAGTGTAAATTTTCTATACATTTATTAGAGCTAACCATGACCAGTTGTGAAAAAAACTATAGACCCTCTGGCGGGAATCGAACCTGTGGCTCTGTAACTATAGCTTATAAAGCTGGAGTAATACGAGCAATAAAATTTGCTGCAACTTGCAACAAAATCTGATTTCTACGCATGTTAATTGAAAATGTTTATACACATACAGTTACAAATCACGAGGCAATATGTGTCGACATTTCTACTTAACATGCGTTGAAATCAGATCTTGTTGCAAGTTGCAGTAATTTTGTTGCCCGTATTACTCTCCACCTTACGGCTCAGCGTGATTCAACAACTTGAAAAATATAACCAGAACTTCGACGTTTCTTCGACCCTTCTTCTACTAACTTCTCGACAAGGCCCTTCCCTAGAAACGTCGAAGTTCTCCTTGTATTTTTCAGGTAGTTGTATATCTGTCTCAATCCGTGGCACAGACCCTTCGAGATTGGCACAGACCCTTCGAGATTGGCAAGGGCTAAATAATGGACCTATTCCCTAATGAACAAAATTTTGATCTAGACAAGTCTGGACAAAAATTTTATCACGGCTTGAAATAGTGTCACAAAATTAGTAATATTCCGAAGTTTCGTTGCGAAATGTTGTAAAATGCGAATATAGCCCTACGAAGTTTGCCGTTTTTCAGTCATTTTGTATTACGCACGGGAAATTGATGCCTTTTTTCAGAAAGCGGTATCATGGTGAAATGTTTGTCTAGACTTGTCTAGATCAAAATTTCGTTCATTAGGAAATAGGTCTATTTCTCTAATGTAGAACTAGATTGATCGAATAGGAGGGGCTGGTGAACATATAAAGTTAACAATTCCGCCGTGGAACCAGCCCCCTGGCATGACCATATATAGACAAGTCCAGCTGAAGGAAGTCACACTATACTATATGCCTTATCTTTTAAATTATATGTTAATATGATTTCTAACACGTCAACTATAGATGGAATTTGAACCCAAATAAAATATCTTTGTAAAATGCATATTATTGATATGAAATTGGAAATTTTGTTTTATTTGATAAAACATTGCAACTATGTTACATCCACTTTAAGTTCGCTTCAGATTGATAGGGATACAACTACATGAAAAATACAAGGAGAACTTCAACGTTTCGAGCGAAGGCACTTCGAAGTTCTCTTTGTATTTTTCAGGTAGTTGTATCCCTATCAATGCGAAGCTTTCAGTTTGGGACATGCTACAACCATGGATAATAAAATAAATGGATAGGAAACTAGCTGACGTGACCTAATGTTTTCAATGGGCTGATGGCGTGATTGGATGTTGAAACCTAGTTAATGTTGCAAACCAAATTCTCACAAACGGCATGTTTAGCAATAATACAGCTAAACATTTTAGTCAAAAAGCAAATAAATATAACTACGCCATTCTACGATGAAATCTCTAAGTATTCCCAGTCAATTTTAGCAAATATTTCAAGCACTAAACAGTGAAAAATGCATCGCAAATTTCGTTAAAATTGGCGACGCCAATTCCGTAGCTACAAATGTAAAAAAATAAAAAACAAAGACGAAAAACATTTACCTTGAATACTTTGTCGTGGCTTAGGCATGTTTTTAAAACAATTAGACCAGTTTATGCTTCAATATTACTCTTTCAAAGCGGAAAATATAGCGAAACAACAAAAATGCCGAGAACTTTGGCAATACGCGTGACGTCACAGATTGCAACTAGGTTTAGACCACATGTGACGTCAGGAAGTTTCCTATCCAGTTATTTTACAATCCATCATGGTATAACCATGGACCACTTCTGCATGATCTAACTGTTCTCATTTACATATTTCTCTCCAATTTAGCCTTCCCTGGAGGTAATGCGGGTATGATCCTGTCCGCAATTTTAGCGGCCCTCACAACCTCAGTGATTCTACTGCTAATCCTGATAATCTACATGAAATACAGGAAACCACAAAATGGCTACAGACGGATGAGTCCAACCAGCTTGACCCTGGCAGCAGAACAAAGAGACAGCCGAGCTGCGTCGATTTTCAGTATGTATGGACGTCCTTCCATTCAAGAAAATGGCAAAGCTCCTGAATTCGATATCCCGTTAATAAGCAGAAAAGCGACAGGCCGACCCAAACGTACATGCCAGCTACACTTTTCTTTGTTCTATAACGTCCACTTGAATGAGTTGACTGTTCAAGTTATTCAGGCACAAAGTCTTCCCAAGTTATTTGGCCTGCAATCAGGTGTTTTGGTTAAGGTAAAGATAGGAGAACGAGTGGTAAATAGGTGCTGACCCTTACCACAGAGACAAGTCTGCTACTGTACGTGAAATGTAGAGAAATTTAGTTAGGTTGGGTAACATCCCTGCGCTTGAAAACTCATGTAAAGAATGCCTAATGCCTAGCTCACATTCAGGAACATGTACTACCTCTGCATGATCTATTCTAACCATGCTTAACTCAGCAGTGAGTTCTGTATAACATCAGATTACTTTATGGTAGTCCACATTCAAGAACATGTACTACCTCTGCATGATCTAACCATGCTTAACTCAGCAGTGAGTTCTGTACAACATCAGATCATTTAAGGAGCTCACATTCAAGAACATGTACTACCTCTGCATGATCTAACCATGCTTAACTCAGCAGTGAGTTATGTACAACATCAGATCACTTTAAGGTAGCTCACATTCAAGAACATGTACTACCTCTGCATGATCTAACCATGCTTAACTCAGCAGTGAGTTCTGTATAACATCAGATCACTTTAAGGTAGCCCACATTCAGGAACATGTACTACCTCTGCATGATCTAACCATGCTTAAATCAGCAGTGAGTTCTGTAAACATCAGATCACTTTAAGGTAGCTCACATTCAAGAACATGTACTACCTCTGTATGATCTAACCATGCTTAACTCAGCAGTGAATTCTGTATAACATCAGATTACTTTATGGTAGCCCACATTCAAGAACATGTACTACCTCTGCATGATCTAACCATGCTTAACTCAGCAGTGAGTTCTGTACAACATCCGATCGCTTTAAAGTAGCTCACATTCAAGAACATGTACTACCTCTGCATGATCTAATCATGCTTAACTCAGCAGTGAGTTCTGTACAACATCAAATCACTTTATGGTAGCCCATATTCAAGAACATGTACTACCTCTGCATGATCTAACCATGCTTAACTCAGCAGTGAGTTCTGTACAACATCAGATTACTTTAAGGTAGCTCACATTCAAGAACATGTACTACCTCTGCATGATCTAACCATGCTTAACTCAGCAATGAGTTCTGTAGATCACTTTAGGATAGTCTAATAGCCTTAGGTTTTGAGCCTCTGGTGAATTGGGCAACCACACTCTGTGTAATCAACAATAAAATAACTCCTAATCATTCAGGTTTCCGTGCTGGATGCTGATGGTGAGACTCGAGAAAAATTGGGCAAAACGTCGATGCATTTTCGAAAAAATTCGGTGTTCAATAGTGTGTTTACATGCAAAGGAATTGCAAGCGCAGACCTACAGGAGTTAAGTATTGGTCTCTCGCTACATTCACAAGATCGGTTCGGGCAAAGTCATTTCGTTGGTGGAGTGGTCATGAGATTTTCTGAAGTGAATTTTAATCCATCTGAACCAGTGTATTTTTGGCGCCCAGTACAGAGAAAGGTGAGGGGATTTATTAGTCAACCTAAGTTTAAACATCTCAAGGACTCATTGACTCAGCGCCCACATAAGTTAATGCGCAAGTCATTGAACTTGGGAAGGGAGAGTTTTAACATGGTTTCTTTTAGAGTAACGGATCAAGTCCGAAGGCAGAGCGTCAAAAGGGCCAATTATTTCTGTCATTGCGATACCACGAGAGAACATCAAGAATCAATGTCATTGTTATGAAAGCAGCAAATCTGGCGAAGCGAAAACGACAGTTAAGAACAGGTACTTTTAGTGAATCTGATATATATATTAATATATTACTGAAATAGCTTTTTATGTAATTTTGTAATTTTCATTGCATATATTTTGTGTTTGGTCAAAATCATAATATTACACTACACTATATGCCAAACAAAGCACTGTACCATATTACTTCACACAACTTAACATACACCATATACCATACCATATATTACACCATACAACACCATACCTACCTCACCCCACCCTTAAAACACTGCATCAAAACCCAACCATACCTTACTTCCTCACTATCTCCAAGATCCCTATGTGATGGTTAAACTCCTGAAGAATGGTGAAGTCATAGAGAAGAAACGTACACAACCTTGCAAAGGTAGCCTCGACCCTGTGTGGAACGAACCTTTCGTTTTCGACTGGAAGAAAGGCAACACTGAGACAACTGGATATAAATTTGTGTTTGAAATAAAGAGCTCTGATATGGTGATGCCTGACACAAGTCTGGGAGTGGTTGAGATTTGTCAGGAAACTTCAGAACATTGGAAGGAAATGATGGAGAAAAAGAATTATGCCAGGGCAATGTGCCATAATATCACCTAATTATACTGAAAACAATGTTTTATATTGTTGAATGATTCATAATACTACAGTACCTAAATGCTGTCAAAGTTTCTGTGATTACAGTAGGAATTTTGCATCAGTAAATTCTACATTTTGAGGGATTTGTAAGACAATGTTTTATATTGTTGAATGTTTCATAATATTACCTAAATGCTATCAAAGTTTCTGTGATCACAGTAGGAATTTTGCATCAGTAAATTCTACATTTTGAACGATTTCTTACAATACAAATCCTTCAAAACTTAGAATTTACCTATGAAAAATTCTTACTGTGATCACAGAAACTTTTGATTGTATACCTAAGTCAGAATGAACCTTTTCCATAACTGACAAATATGTCAAAACAATGAGTGGAGAACAGTTGCAAATTATAGCAAAATTCCTTTTTTGTGAATATTGAATATGTGAGAGCACGATTCATAATTATGGGTCAGATGCTCCATGACTGCAAAATTTTATTTTAACAAGCTTTCGACAATTTGACTACCAGACTCGCTCAAAATTACACTGTGGAAGACACTCTTTAGCATTGTCCGCAAGCTTTAAATAGTTATTAATTTTAATGCATTCCTTTTATTTAGGGATGAGCCGATAAGGAAAATTGCCGATTACTGAGGCCGATTATTTATAAGCCGATTATTGTAACTAATCGGCCGATTAATCGGTACCCACCGATTATTTTAACAAGCAAGGGAAAAATCACAAGATGACCAACAATGAAGTTGTAAATGCGACAATTAAAAACAGCTTCAGTCTCTCATGTCAATAGTCATAGTTTAATTTTGGCAGATTATGGTGTAAAAACAAGGCCGAGCTAGCGGAGCTAGTCTGCTGCGTTTTTTTAGTGGAAATGTTCCCAGCTTCACTTCGCTTGAGACAAAAGACACAGGTTTGGCAACAAAGTGTGAAAATCTATTCGCTTGTATTCAGTATTTTAGCATGTGATTGGCAGCGCCAGAAAAAGTCTTATGGCCGATTATTTGCCGATTATCAGGCAATAATCGGCCGATTACCGATTATTTAAAAAACGGCCGATTAATCGGCTTTGCCGATTATTTACCGATTAATCGGCTCATCCCTACTTTTATTCATTGCTTAGTACCTAAATAGCCTTCTTTAGAAACTCCAGTCCTTTAGTAAAGTTCACAGCAGCATTTTTGCAAAGAATGAATAAAAATATATACAGTGCATGGTTTATTTTGTCCTGTCAGTGTGCATGTAGTGTTAATTAAAGTCCAGAGGAACAGGTGTATTTCACTAGAAGCACTATCGTGCAGCAGATGCTGGCCAACCTGCAGTTATCAGAATGATATAATGATGTTCATTCTTTTCATTATATGTAGTAGTTTTGTATTTGGAGGCAAATAAATAGAACGCTAGATGCTAGAAGTGGGCCACCATCTGCTGTCCTGCAATTCAAATCCAACCTATTAGTGGTATCAAAAATGTATATTGCTGCAATTTACTTGAGTGGGTATAAAACAATCCTACCATGTCTTCTACAGAATACCTTTCACCATAAACGACGGCCATAACAGCGTCACGATTTTAACTTCACCAACGGAATATTCTTTTTCCCTATACACTGGTCACACACCCAATCGGCATTCTCCTCGTTTGTTAACAAGTTGTATGCATTCTCGGTTAGCCCGGCGCAAACACGATGGTACCATTGGCTACATCCGGTTTCACAGAATATCGCTGCATCGTCATCACTGACCTCTTTACGACAAGATCCACAAGGGTAGCTCTGTACTGGGACATCTGGTGGTATGCTAGGCACAGTGAGTTGCTGAAAATGAGAATAAATTTCTATGAAAACAATAAGGTACCGGTAGTAAAACATATTTTCTCAGTTTCCCCCCAAATTTTTTCCAACTTTTTGCCTAGAACAACATCGATTTAATCGGTTTTAAAAAACATCAGATTGTTCCAGTTTATCGATTACTCGCCTCACCCTTACTGCTAGGAAACTATGTCACAACGAGGGCTTCACAAATGTTCTAAATCTGCTCACCATAATTGGAGCAGCAGGCTGCATTGTCGTAGTACTCGATGTTTGAATGACAGGCGTCATGATGGCATTATTTTCATCTGATAGATCATCGGCAGGGTCAGCTGTATATTTTGGTGCTACGTTATTTTTTTTTGGCTTCTTCGGTGGACTTCGTACCATGTTTTCTGTATCGCTGTAATCATCATCCGAGTCGCTGAAATCTGGAATGTATGGTAAGAGTTGAACCATTGTTCACTCCATGGGATAATAATATGGTACCTTCTTAAGCCGGTTTTCATTAGGCGGTAGTTTGCACGTGGAGCAAAATTTTTCTTTGTCTTGTGATTTCTCGGGTGGAACTAATCAGAAAAGACAAAGAAAAATTCCGCTGCGCGCAAAATTCTGCCTAATGAAAAACCAGCTTTATGGTGTAAGACAGTAGTTTGCAGCACAAATAAGTGTTGCCAGAGTTGAACAAACTCCTAGCTCTGGGAACAAACTCCGGCTCCAGCAAAATAGGCCAAAACTCTGGCGCACAGGACGATCACCCAATAGAGGGGGACATGGGATTTACGGTATGGCGGTATTAGCTTATTTTTCTTACGGTATTTCGGTATTTTCCTTGGAAAATTGCGGTATTACGGTATTTGAAATTTTGCGGTACACAGTATTTGCAATTTTGGACTCAAAAGCTGCGGTAATTGACAAAATTTGCTTGCAGTATTACAGTATTGAATACCCCCCAATGCCCCCCTCCCAATACACTATGTCAGGACATAATCTGCAGAAAAAGGCTACAAAGTCTCACATACACAATAGCATAAAATAATAGCGCATAAACTCAGCCAAAGTGACAAGGAGCTTTACTATGTTTGCAAAACCTTTGTAAAGAAAAGCCATCTTTTTTGCAACACATGAAATGTAAGCAAGGACTATTTTAGACGTTTTGGTTATTATGAAATTCAAGTAGTATTATTTATAGTATATTTTTCTAAATATAGTGAATTTATTTCTCTAGTTCCTTGCATTTTTTTTTGGAAATTTTGCCACGAAATTATAACATCATACTTTCAATACTACAGTCACACGTGCCTCATACTTTGATCATGATATCTAGCAAACAACAACATAAATATCGTTTAAAACAACAAAGCCTTATAGAACATATTCTATACATACCTTTATGCTTAGGTTGCCTTGCAGAAAGACGTTTTTCTCTCGGCATTTCCAAATTTTAAACAGCACTTTACACAAAATTCATGCTTGATTTGAAAACTGATTTCAAATATTTAAACACAAAGACAACACTTTATGTAATATACTATATAGGTGTACATGATATATCGCGGGCTCGAAGTGCCCTTTATGCAAATTACCGTATGCTAATTTTATACATGTATTTTATATATATTTTCCTAAGTTTCCTAAAAGTTTATTCGTGTTCGAATTTCACTGCGTGTAAGTTTTATCTTTTTTAAATCTGCTGGAGAATATTTTAAAAACTGTTTTAAAAACGCGATATTTTTTACAGGTGTGCTATTTTGATTTTTCTGCAATGATTGCAAAGTTTCTTGGTGAGATATCGGGGTCAAAAAGCATTGATATTCTTGCGTTGAAATCTGGAAAGACAAGAATAAAATCAAAGTCGGCAGAGCAAAGAAAGGCAGGATTTATATTCAGTGTAAAGAGTAATCTATCGGCCCGGGAAAGATTTTTTGTAGTTGGAAGTTTTGAAGGGAAGATTATGTACAATTTCAGACCTAACCAGGAGTAGTAAATGCAACTATATAGGCCCTCTGGCAGGTATTGAACCTGCGGCACAGAATAAAGACATACAGAAGTGTATCTTCTTATTAAAAGTGCGTAAGGGATTTTTTCAGTCCGCCATGTTCTTAGCAAGTGCCCTAAAGAGAGGCAGTCACCCCCCTGAAAACATGTTGAAAATTTAATATTCCAGGGGGATGAATGCCTCTCTTTAGGGCACTTGCTAAGAACATGGCCGCCAGCTATTTCGGTACAAAATGCCTTACGGTTTTGTAATGGAAGTTACACTTCTGTATGTCTTTATTCTGTGCCTGCGGCCCTGCGATTCCGGTACAGCTGAGCTATAGAGTCCAGTTTTCGAGCTCTAAGCCTCTAACCACAAAAGGTATGGGTAAAAAGACAAGATGCCAAGAAAATCTCGATATTTAATCTATCGGAACACCTGTTATAAATGCCTAAACACAAATAGTTTTATCTGCCATATCCTACCAGGATATTGTTCTCTGATATAAATCAACCGATCAACCAAGAGAAGTCCTTCGATAACCGGCGCCATTAATAATTTCAGAACATAAAATACGACTACATTGAACTGTTTGCCAGCATGGATCTCTTCAGCAATTTGTATATCTGCAAGGAAATACATTTATATATACATTGGAAAAACTACAACGTCTGTTGGTAGCGGGTTGTGCACGTGTCTTTCAGCTTTGTGACTTTCGGTTATCTGATTATAATTTTGCTTCAGTCGCATAAGAGAAGAGCGCCTCACGAGCAAGGCCGGATTTTGGTGGAAATTGATTTTGGTGGAGGTTGTGAATTTGATTTTGGTGGAGCTGCAGCGGTCTAGCTCACGACTGACCATGGAAAGTTAGGGCTTAGAACGGGCCAATGTCAACGACATGACGTATGCATGTAGTGTACATATGTATCAGTGTATTAATGAATTATGACTGTGCAACTCATCCAATTTTGCCCTTCATTACAATTACTGCAAAGTTTCTTTCAAAAACATTGCATTAAAAGGGCACTTGACACAGAGATGAATGGCTATCACTGTTTCAATTTTACAGAAAAACGTTCTCACGAAGTGTAGACCCTTATAAGCAACAAAAATATCAAATTTTCACCCCGCCTATCATTGAAACTTTCCCAAGGGCAGGTGCATGACTTTTCAGGGGAGGTGCAAAACGATCTCAGGAGAGGTGCGCACCTCCCCTCAACGTCCGGCCATGCTCACGACTGACTCTAACAAACACACAGGTTTTTCCCTACGTAAGCTAATTTTCTACAGGTACTCCTGTTTCCTCCAGCAGTAACACTTTATTGAGTTTCTCACTCATTGGTGAGCGGATTTCCCAAGGTGCCATATTCTCCTCATTTACTTTAAGAGCTTGAGTAGAGGTCCGAGCAAGGATTGAACCCGAGTCTCCCAGCTTGAAAGGGAAGCGTGGTGACCACAACACCACAAGAGCTGCTTAAATGACCAATACGAGATGTCCGTTGAGCCTGGTTCACATTGATTGGCGATGTTCTACGATCCATTGATTGTGAGCGAAGAAGAAAATGCACAAAACATTTTATGCATCAATGACCACCGACAATGGGCATCGCCGATGTTTACGATAAATGAGAATCAGGCTTAACTGGACGTCTAGGAAGAACCTGAAAAGCTCTGGTTGGCAAACCTTGTGCTGTAGGTCTGCTTTCTTCTATGCTAAGTATATCACATGCGCTTGTAACATATCTAAATAAAATAACAGAAAGACTCGTTAGTTTATCCAAGGCATCAAATCTTTCACAGGGTCGCAAAGGATACAACACAACGAAGGAAGTTACTCGGTAAATGTCATATTGGCTGCTTTCTTTGGTCTTAAAGTTCGTATTTGTCTTCTGGGACAGCCAGGATCCTGTGAATAAAAGTCAATATACAATGAGACAAGTGTATACTGTAGGAATTGAGCCCTGGTGACAGACATGAAAGTTGGAAGCTCAACCATTGTGCCATAAACAGGCATACTAGATCGACGTTACCTTTTGTTTAAGGAGAAGTTCCAGCAATGCTCTGTAGTAATGAAGCTTCAGAGTTGGCGATATTTCTATATAAATGATACAACAACAGTCATCATCACCATCATCACTACTATCATCAACATAACCATCATTAAACTACCACCATCATCACCATCATTACCACCACCACCACCATCATCTTCATCTCAACCAACACCATCACCGCCACATACCTAATAGTTTCTTGTGGTATCTCCCTATAGCATGACAAGCTGACTCAAGTGCGTTGTAAGTCTGTCGATGACCAGACAAACTCTTAACATAATCACTCAATGGATATCCCAGTATCTGTGCAGCCTCAACAGTCGATATAGAATCTTCCACAACTTTCAATTCATCACATTGAGTTGTCAATGTTTGTCTGCAATTAAGGCTATCATTCTTAACCTTCTCTTGCCCAAAATTACTGCAAATTTCTGTGCAAGAATGTCTACAAGAAGGGTCTGCAAATCCCAAATCATTCCTCCTATCAATGTTTGTTGATTCAATGCTATTCTGTTGAGAATTACCACACATTTCTACTGAATTTTGTCTGCTAGTATGGGCTGTCAATTCCAGATCATTCTGTCTAATAGAGTTTGTCAATTTAGTGCAACTTTGGTGCTGGTCACAAATGCCTGTTGTCGGATTAGGTCTACTAGTAGGGTCTGTTGATTCCACATTATTTTGCTGAAAATTGCCACAAATTTTTTTGGAGTTGGTTGGAATTGTATCGAGTTTCTTCCTTTTCTGTGTTGTAGTGCCTTGGTCTGTCTTGGCTATTTCATGATGTAACTTCATGTAGCAACAACCAACAGAAACTATCCCAACGGCATTATCACATTGGCTAAAAACACGAAGCAACGTTGGAGCCAAGTCGCCACAAGTGTGAAGACCAACAATTATAAAATTTTCACACGATTTCGGCCAAGCTTGTAAGTTTCTGGTGTTTTGGGGAGGAGTTTCGTCTTCCATCATGGAAAAAGCTTCCAAGACTACATTGGAGAACTCTGCAGCTGAAATATCTGAATTTATCTAGAAAGACATGATGTTTCGTATAATAAAAGTTTTTCAGTTTCAGTTAATGAAAAATTGTAATAATAATTATCTTACATGATGTGTAACATGGACAAGTGATCTGCCACCAGTTCCAGCCTCCTAAATGTCAAATAGAATTTTAGTTAGAGTGAGGATCGAGTTCATGGCACAGTGGTTTCTGCAAGCATGGCTGCAAACAACCTCGTACCCAGGATCTTTCTTTGGGAAAGACCCTGGCTGCGGCTGGTCACGTGCCTCATTAAAAATTTAGCGCCTGACGGGGTGTGGGGAAAGT